TTCATTCGTAAGGCAGATTCGCCTAAGAAGAATGAGCAAGAAACTCTAGAGGTTGCTCTTTGTAAATAGGTAACATTTGTATGCATTCAACATTTACAATATATTTATTGTTTTGCTTTCAAACATCAGAGATCGAAACTACCTCCATGAGCTAAACGGGTTACCACGGATTTTTGTGCTCCAAGTACGTAGAATTTGTATAATTTCCTTTAGTATACAGTTTTTGTTTCACTATAGTTTTAACCTCGTGAATGGCAAATGTTGTATATCAACCGGAATCTTGTTATAGAAGCGTATACATTGCCCCCTAATTGAATTCGTCACTTTGTGAAGACAACTATCAAGAACAGCTAGTTTAATTTTATTCCTCGTATTAACGTTATGTCTGTCGCTATTTTTCATACAGAGATTACATTCCTCTTAACATAAATTACATTTTCATAGACGTACTGTGACGCTAGTGTAAAAATATTAATTTCCTTAAACTTATCTCTCACTAAGCTCCACGTTGTTGCATGATGTAATACCCCGTCCAATCTCGGCGACAATACTCTTGCATGGACACACTGAACATACGTACACAATTAAACAACATTTTGCAGAAATATAATTATTATAAAAAATAATGATATTCAATTATTTTTGTGAAATATAGATCGGACACAAAGAAAAATTTCTTCGATCCGGATGGACTCGAACGACTTCGCCATACCGAGACGGATTCGAATCCAGAATCCGGATCGAAACATTTGTCTTTGTGTTCAATCTTTGTATTAATAATTAAAACAATGAAAATGAGTAAAGAGTCAAAGTTAAAACGAAGTGAATCATAGAATTAGGCTACAGAAGCTATATTTATTTACTTTAAATACTATTCCTGAAAAAAATTTACATTTGTGGTTGTCCTAATGGAGCAACGACAACCGTCAGTTACGAAAGTTGTTTGAAAAAGTTTAAAAAATTCATGAAGACATTTGCATGTGGATTTGCTTTTAAGAATTTGTCTACCAACATTTTGATATTTTTAGTTCCAACAATTTAAATTGCTCAATTTCTATTTAAGGCTGGAATTAATGCCGAATTGACGAATTGGGCTCTTTTTAAATTAAATTCCTGATAATAATAATAGTCCACTAATCACAAAAAAATATATGATTCCTTGTATATGATCCTTATATATTTAATGTGTTGAGCTAAACTACAATTTATTAAGCTCTTTTTACGAAATAAAACTTACAGTTACGTCCTTCAAATTGAATAAAAAGCAATTTGTCTTTACATGTAAACATCCGCTGTTTATAAAATTTACACGAAAAAATAGATAATTTAATTTCAAACAGAATGTATTGTTCACTTTTGTTTTACTTATATAGTTCGTAAGTTAATTATTATTATTTGAAAAAAATAATTCCTTCCCACTCGCGAGATCTGCGCTGTACTACGCTCAGTACTACAGTAGTACTACGCTCAGCTTTCAGGCTTTGCGACGGGTGGACTGCGCGTGTGTTTCTGAGCGGTTTTATGCCACAAAAAGTTGCTGTTTTTAATTAATTTCACTTGTCTTTGTGTTAAATTTAATTTGTATATATGTATTTCATTTTCTTTTTATATTTTAGATTTTATAAATTAGTTATTTCGTTATATTTATATAGCATCTTTTTTAATAACTAACAAAGACTAGACAATATAGATATGCCGAAATAAAAAATAAATCTAAGGTTAAGTATGGAATTTGTACAATATACATGCAAATAATATGGCACTGGATGAGAAGGTTTAGGTGTTCTGGAAGAGAAGGCCTGGGTGTTCTGGGTAGTGCTGCAGAGTGAATTCTGTTGCCCTTGGTCTCGGGTTTGATTCCCGGTAGAACAAATTTTTTAAATGAACTTCCTAAACTTGGGTCTGGTCTGGGTTTCTGGTAATGGCCATGTTTGGATTCAGTTTCTCTGGCACTCATAAGGAGTACAGGGAGTTCCCTAGTTTGAGACCAGGTGGTTGGCAACAGAACAGACAAAAGTACATTTCCCAAATTGATGCTACCGGGAATCGAACCCGCGACCAAGAGTTACGGAATACACTCCGCGTCACTACCCACAACACTTAGGCTAAAACGATTTTAGAAAATTTCATTTCCGAAACTGGTTCTACCGGAAATCAAAACCAGGATGAAGTGCTACGGAATTCACTCAGCGACACTTTCCAGAACACTTAGGCCAAAACCATTTTAGGAAAGTTCATTTCCCCAATTGATACTGCCGGAAATCGAATCCGGAACCTTCTCATGCGTGCTTTATGTAAAATCTACAAATTGCTTAAAACACGACCACACACACAGCATATTCTCGTGAGAAAAAATATTCACCTTATTTAACACATTTGAAGTTCTATATTGTATTGCTATTTCCAAAGTGCTCCCTAAGCAGTCCGATGTCGCTCAGAAATTGTTTGCGTTTCAAAGAAATGTACCTTATTGTGGAGAAGCCTAGTCACGCTTTGTAGTGCCCGTGGTGGCATAAGCTGGTGACGTCAGGCTGCGCCGCGCTGCACCGCGGGACACAAAGACATACCCACCTTATTTAGTAGAAATGAAACTATACTGCATTGCATTTTCCGCCCACCGCTGCTTGCAAGAGTTTTGTTTTAAAGAAAATAGAAAACAAAGATAATAAAACCACCACTGATCCAGAAAATATCGCAAATATTTGCTCTCGTGACGACGAACCCATGTTTCAACCAGAAAATAGTACTCCAACTTCAATTAAACTACTTGTTCTCGCTATTTAGATTTTGACGCTTTTTAATGTTAACAATTTAGTTAATAAAGTACCTATTTTAATGTATATTTATTTAACCTCGCGCAAAGTACGTATCGTTATACTGTACTGTGTACTTCTTATTGTTGGAATTTCCATCAGTTAAAAACAAATTAGTCGTATTGGTTGTAATCACTTTTTTTTATAATTAATCTAAGTGTTTATTTACGTATTGTATAAAACAAATTGAATAAATAATACATAAAAGTGGTACTTTCATAGACGCATAATTAATTAGTAAATATTGAAGTTTGTTAAATGAATTTAAAATATAGCGAATAAAGGTATTTGTTTTAATTTTACTATTCTTTTCTACTTCTCTTTTATAGTTGAAAATAGTAGTATTAGTTGTTAGTTGATTTTATCAACTAACTATCGAATCATTGCACGATTTACCTAATACTTTCACTATTTATGCTATTACGATTTTGCCCCTAAAATATTATGTAATGTTTATTTTTACGATGGTTTATTCTCGAATGTCTCTGAGGGAATAACAACGTAGGTATAGATTGCAAAAAAACACATGACTCTTCTGTTTCCGAATTCACAACTTATCTTTATTTGACTTTGTGTAAGTACGAGTGGTAGATAGATGGCGTATGAAATTATTTATTTTATTTTATTTTATTTATTTTATTTATTTTATTTATTTTATTTATTTTATT